AAAAAAAAAGAGCTGTAGGGGCCCCCAATAAAATGATCTTTCAACTTAAAACAAAGATAGAAAATAAATAAATGAAACTGTTCTTTTGACGAAAAAAAACATTGTGTGGTGTGTTTACTTGCATAGCTCCAAATTTTGGGTGAGTAGCACAGTAATTTAATCTTCTTCATTGTTTGCCTTTGGAGACTCAAGTTACAAGATAGGAGGTGGTAAAGATGATATACATAAAAACACATGAACCAGAATTTATATATCAAATGTTTTTTAAATCAGCTACCTACAAACGGAGCACATTAATTCTAACAATGCTATTGTTTAAAACTTTTTTTGTGGACTGCTCTTGATTCCATTTTTACAAGCTACAACACAATATGCCTTGTTATTTTTTGAGCCATACATTACTCCTTAACTTCCTAGTCTAAATGTAGATTGTTTCTGTTCTACTGTACATATTCTCAATAATAGCAACAAAATTAATTTAAACACAAAATAGCATAAACTGCCAGTTTTTCAGTTAGTGACAAAAGGCCTTTAATTACTGGGCCACCAGGTCTCTTCATCAATTGCCCAATTCAGATAAAATATTTCAAAATTACACCACAAAACAAAATACATTTACTATTGTTAGTTTTTAAAGAATAATGTCTTGAAACTTAAGCTATTATAGTTAAATAAATGATCATGACATTTACTCTTTATGTAGCAAAGTGATTCATCAACCACACAGCCAAGTAATCCAATCCCTCATAGATTACCATTTTTAATTAATTCAAGAATGGCTGCCTTCAGAAGCGACCAAGAGAACACAATGTACTTCACTGAGTTTTTAAAAACAAGCACAGCACAAGCAAATTAATAACCTTTTGTTTAGCTTTCATGGTAGCAAAATATTTAAATTGGAACTTTTTCGTTCCCTTTTTTATTAGAAAGGCAGAATAAATGAATTCAGGTTTCCTGTATTTAATGTCATCTCTGCATAATTATATTTAATATCATATAACCACTCGCTAGCTTAATTTTTAGCTTTTCAAACCAGCAAAACTCTGATTACTGTTCCAGTTTTCAAGAGAGTCAAGTACATCACAAGATTACTGTAAATGTTAAGTAATACATGTTGGGGAGGGGGCATGTAAAAAACTCTTCAGGAATTTTTCATTATATTTTAATTCTATTTTCAAGCCCCCACATATGGAAAGTAAAAAAATAGCAGTATACAAATGCATGTAGGTTAGTACTGAACTTTATATAAAGTGTATTTCATAAGCCATAAAACTTGAGGACAAAAT